TTTACAATGGTGTGTTAGTTTCTGCTTTATAACAAAGTGAATCAGCTATAGTGTACATGTATTTTTAATATATATAAATAGAATTGTGTTATAGAACTCATTGTTTTTTGCTCTTTCCTCTCAGAATTGTTTTTTTTTGTTTTGTTTTGTTTATTTTTGGCTGTATTGGGTCTTCGATGCTGCACACGCGCTTTTCTCTAGTTGTGGCGAGTGGGGGCTACTCTTCGTTGTGGTGCATGGGCTTCTCATTGCGGTGGCTTCTCTTGTTGCGGAGCATGGGCTCTAGGTGCACGGGCTTCAGTAGTTGTGGCTCGCAGGCTCAGTAGTTGTGGCTCGTGGGCTCTAGAGCGCAGGCTCAGTAGCTGTGGTGCATGGAGTTAGTTGCTCCGCGGCATGTGGGATCTTCCCAGGCCAGGGCTTGAACCCGTGTCCCCTGCATTGGCAGGCGGATTCTTAACCACTGTGCCACCAGGGAAGCCCTCAGAATTGTTTTTAAGAGTTACCTGTGATGCTAAATGAACACCTAGTCTATTGCTGTTAAAACTGCTCCATTGTGTACATCCACAACATTTTACTTATCCAGTTCCTCAGTGCTGGACACCTGGGGTGCCTCCAACTTTGCAACACCACGAATAATGAATGTCTTTATATTATTTATCTATTAATGAACAATAAGCTACTCTAAAATTTAGAAGTTTAAAACAACATTGTTTCAATACCATATGATATCACTTATATGCAGAATCTAAAATAGGACACAAATGAACTTATCTATAAGACAGAAACAGACTCACAGACATAAAGAACAGACATGTGGTTCCTAAGGGCATGGGGTTTGGGGGAGGGATGGAGTTGGAGTTTGGGGTTAGCAGATGCAAACTACTATATATAGAATGGATAAACGACAAGGTCCTACTGGATAGCACAGGGAACTCTATTCAGTATCCTGTGATAAACCATAATGGAAAAGGATATAAAAAAGAATATATATGTATAACTGAATCACTTTGCTGTACAGCAGAAATTAACACAACATTGTAAATCAACTATACTTCAATAAAAACAAAACAAAACGTTGTTTCACAGTTTTTTAGTATCAGGAATCAGGGTACTGTGTAGCTTGGTGCCTCTGACTCAAGTGTCTCATGAGGTTGTCGTTGATCTTATGGCTGGGGCTGTGGTCTCATCTGAAGGCTCAACTAGGAAGGACCTGCTTCCTGGACTTCTCACTTGGCTGTTGGCAGGATTCAATTTCTCTAGGGCTGTTGGACTCAGTTCCTTACTGGCTGTTGACTGGAGGCCTTCCATAGTCCTTTGCAAGGTGTACTTCTCTGTATGTCAGCTCACAACAAGGCAGCTGGCTTCCCTTGGAGAAAGCAAACAGAAGAGCAAGAGCAGGTGCCCAACACAAGCCACGGTTGTTTTGTAAGCCAGTCTCCTCTCAGAAGTGGCATGCTTTCACTTTTACTGTATTCTCTTCTAAGCAAGTCTCTAGGTCCATCCTACACTCAAGGGGAGGCAATTACACAAGGACATGAATAGCAGGAAGCAGGGATTATTGAGGGTCATTTTGGAGGTTTGCTTACCACAGTCCTCAGACATATTTCTGTGAATTTTTCTTTGGCATATACATATACTGGGTTATAAATTGTTCTATAAAATAGCTGTGCTGGTTAATATTACTATCAGCAGTACATGAGGGTTTATATATCATTATGTACCTGCCAATACTTTACATTTTCTAGGACATCAAGGGATATTACACTGTTTTAAACAGACTGTTTTTTATCTTTTGCTCTTTTTTTTCCTAGTGAAGTTCTTGGCTTTTTCTTGGCTTTTTGCGGGAGTTGCTTGTAATATTCTAGATATTAGTTCTTTGTTCTTCTTCCATTTTATCATCTGCCAGTTAACTTTGTTCAGGGTTTCATTTGTTGAGCAATAATCTTTAATTTTGATGTAATTAAATGCTTTTATTTATTTACTTTATGCTTTGTACTCTTAGGCTTTTATTTAAGAAGTCCCTTCTTGTGCTTATGTTACAAACTTATCATTGTACATTTTCTTCTATTAATTTTAGTGTTGCCATTCACATCCAAGTGAATGTAGGTCTTTAATTCTTCTGTAGTCGGTCTTTTTTTTTTTTTTTTTTTTTTTGCGTTACGCGGGCCTCTCACTGTTGTGGCCTCTCCCGTTGCGGAGCACAGGCTCCGGACGCGCAGGCTCAGCGGCCGTGGCTCATGGGCCCAGCCACTCCGTGGCATGTGGGATCTTCCCGGACTGGGGCACGAACCCGCGTCCCCTGCATCTGCAGGCGGACCCTCAACCACTGCGCCACCAGGGAAGCCCTGTAGTCGGTCTTTGAATATGTTGTAAGATAGGGAGCCATCATTATTTTTCTTTATGAAATAAGCCAGTTTTTCCCAGCACCATCTTCTGTACAATCTGTTCTCCATTGATTTATAGATCCGTTTTATTGTATGTTTCCATAGAAACACAGGTTTGACCTGTGTTTCAGTTCTCAGTTGAGTTCCATTGGTTTGTCTAATTTTTTTGTGTGTGCTTGCAAATACCATACCGTTTTTATTGCCACAGCTGTGTAACATGGCTTGATATCTGGTAAAGGAAGTCCCTCTCTTCACTTTTCAGTTTCAAGATTGACTTGGCTATATGTTTATTCTTTCATAAAAATGTCATTTATGAAGTTTCTGAAAAAAACTCAATGAGAATTTTGGTTGTGATTAAGATTAATTTGTGTAGAATTATCTTCATGGTATTTAGTCATTATATTCAGATCATCCTGTTTGCTCTCTATTAATGTTTTAATACTAATAAGTGGATGCTGGCCAGCAAAATGAATAGAAGATATCCTCTAAGTCAGTCAACAGCATCCTGGATCCTTTTTTCATGAAATTCCCTTTACATTTTTGTTGCAAAGAGTATTCCTTTTGTATTATGATCGTGTATTATATGGCCTCAACATATTTCTTCCTTTTTGCTGTTCCGAGTTATGTATGCCTGGTACACTATGCTGATGACTGTTCAGGAAGTCCTAGTTAGTTCCAGTCAAAATCAGAGCAATAAAGATCCCTCCCATTTGTGATGTTCTCCCATTTGTGATGTTGTTTGGTCCAATTTATTTTGAAGGAGAACAGCCCTCTGTTCTAAATCTAAATTCTTTCATTAAAGTTGTCAGACATAGTATTTATTAATAGTCATGGTTTTAAGGTTTTTTTTGCGGTATGCAGGCCTCTCACTGTTGTGGCCTCTCCCGTTGCGGAGCACAGGTTCCGGACGCGCAGGCTCAGTGGCCATGGCTCATGGGCCTAGCCACTCCGCGGCATGTGAGATCTTCCCGGACCGGGGCACAAACCCGTGTCCCCTGCATTGGCAGGCGGACTCTCAACCACTGCGCCACCAGGGAAGCCCCATAGTTTTTAGTTTAAACAAATTAAAGCAGTTTCTTCCTGGATCAGGAACCTAGTGTAAGATGTTAAATTGTAAACCACTGCTGTTTTTTTTATTATTATTATTGATGCAATGACTAAATGCATTAACAAGCGTACTGGAGGTAGTCACCTACCTAGATAGCGTGTACTGTGGCAAGATACTTGTTCTTCAGGATTTGGCTTTAAGCCCTGACGCAACTGAAAAGCCTAGCAAATTGACTACAGAGTATGGATTCCTGACAGGCATAGGCTGTATGAATAAATGATGATTGTGATTCAAAATCCTTTGGGTTTTGAGCACCCAAATCATCATTATTGAAGAATTAATGAATCCTGATACAGCACATCAGGGTTGTTTTTCATTCAATTCAAGAAATAAGTACAAATGTAAGATATGCCTTTTATGTGGTTAATATTTTACAACAATAATTATGGAAATTTCAGGAAAGAGAATTGTTCTACAGTATTAGATTTCTGAGTAGAAATGAGATTTATTCGTTACATAATAAGATCATTTGCACGGGTCTCTTGTGTTTTGTTTTGTATACTTTGCTTTTAAAAGATATTTCATCAGCAAAATCACTCTGTAAACATCTGGTAGAATTAGAACTTTAAAATCTGGTAAGCTTCTCCATTTCTAGAATCAAGTCCTCTTTAATTTGTTTGATGAGCTTCATTTAAGTAGGTGTTCAGTATTTTTCTTTGGGCTTTCCATGAACATTTCAGATCTGTAAAAATAGCTGATATTCTTTTGGAGCTGTTACTCTTTTTGTTGTGCTGTTGAGATTTTCACTTTCCTGGGCTAACATGTTACTGTTCCCCATGATAATTGTGTTTAAACTTTTGCAATAATTGAAGATTTCTTGATGCATTTGTTCCTGTTCGTGCTCAGCCAAAATTTTGTTTCCTTTTTATTTGTTCTAAGATTTGTTTCTAAAAGGGATTAATGATCTTCGGAGGACAATGGTAGTCCTTCATAAAAGAAATACGCTTAATAAAACAGGAACAATTTGTTTACTGTTCATATTTTGCTGAACAGGCAGAGTTGGCCTTGAGAAAGTAGACACTTAGAGATAGAAGATCTAGGGTATACCATAGTTCTCACTGTAGCTATTATCAACTCAAAAAGACACTGTTGTCTTCCCTACACTGTGACTTCTTTTCAGTTTTACAATCTGAATATTTGTTTCTGTGTTATAACTAAACAGGGAATGAACATAAGGGCTTTAGAGTGGACCTTTGAAGTAGAACACTGCTGGTAACTGTTTCCATTATACACTAATGTATTGATACTTGTCATTCATTTGTAGATGGGACCTGGAAAATAGGAAAGTAATGGGATATTTGACCCAAGTACAAGAACTAATGACAAGGAAGGGTTTCATATTTTTGTTTGACTTAATTTTTATTTTAAACATACTAGTATTTTTTAATAATCTGGAAGCATATTGAATATTTTGATTTGAGTTTTTAAATGTATAGTTTATTTAGAAAAGAGCAATATCTTAATCTTCCAAAGTGATCATTATTCTGATTTGTTTCCTATTTTTCCAGAGATATTACATATGAAATATCAGTAGAAGCTGTGTCAACAATGGTGGTCTTCCTTTCCTGCCAACTCTTCCACAAGGAAGTTTTGCGACAGAGCATCAGTCACAAGTATTTGATGCGAGGTCGATGGTATGTTTCTATTTTAAATTTGTCAAGTTTTTTATTGAATTAATCTATAGTTCTCGTCTTGTCCTCTTTCCTTAGTGTTGTTCCATATCTCCAACCAGACATTTCCTCTGGTTGTTCTGTCAGAACTTCAAACCCAATACATAAGGATCTGCTTTCCTGTCTAAACTATCCATCCTCCCTGCCCCTTTCATCCCCTAGCTTCATTACCTTCTCTAGTGGTTTCTTTGTAGAGTTGAAACTTTGAAGCCATGTTTTCTTCCTTCTGCATCATTCTCTATGTCTAAGCATTCATCCAGTCATATTTGTTCATTGAAATTATTTGCATCTTCCCCTTCCCACCAGTCCCATTGAAACGACTGCTGCAGTGGATGCCCCATCACCATGTGTTTGGACTTCCCCAGCAGCCACTTAACTGACTGTTCCTACTTTCATGTAGTCAACAAATGGTTATTGTGTGCTAACCATGTGCCAGGCATGTGTTAGGATGTGGAGCTGTGCTCCTGAGCAGAGCAGAAGCTTACAGTCTCCTGGTGGGTAGGGACGGGAGTAGATAAATATTAAACACACACACACACACACACACACAGAGAGAGAGAGAGAGAGAGAGAGAGAGAGAGAGAGGGAGAGAGGGAGAGAAGCACCTTTGTCTTTTCATATCCCTCTTGCTACCTTGATTATACTTGTGGCACATCCACAGAATCCTTTAGAGCTCTTTTAGAACATATTTGAAAATCACTGATAATAGGGATAAAAGGCCTTAAGCGTTGGCTGAAGAGTCTATTCAAAAGTTTTCTCCAGTTTGCAGGAATTGATTTATCACCAATTTGTGGACACATATCCCTTTTAACTTGTTTCCTCTGCCTTCTCCTCTCATTCTGTTACTTAAAAGCAAAGGGTATTAACATTAAAAGAAATCTGTATATATATGGATATGTTTTTTATATGTATGCATAGATTGAATAACTTCATACTTTTATTTTAAACAATGTAAGATATTTAACAATTATTATATTGATTATATGTTGAATATTTTGGATATATTGGGTTAAGTCAATATATCAAATTGACTTGATATACTATTCAAGTCAATTTCCATACTTTTAAATTCTTGCGTTTTCCTACTGACTCTGTTACTACCTCCCTTCAAGTGTCAAGTACTGTATTATACACTGAATTTATAATATTTCACCTGTTATGCAGATTACAAATAAGGTAACTGAAGCTTAGGAGTTGAAGCGATTTGATGAATGACATACAGCATAGTAAGAGGAAAGCCAGATTTAAGCCTCAAGTCTGATCTCAAAGCCCATGGTCTTCACTGTTGTGACAGTGCCAGATTTCTTTGAATTGTGCTAATCCCTTTTATGTCGGTAGATTATATAGGTTATATTTATCACGATACAAAGTCAGTTGACTCCCCCAAATCTGAGTTTATTTTCTTCTTTTTTCTTTTTGTGTAGCCTCCCATATACCAGCAAACTTGTAAAGACCTTGTTGTATAACTTCATCAGGCAAGAAAAGCCGCCTCCTCCAGGAGCACACGTTTTCCCTCAGCAGTCAGATGCGGGAGGGCTGCTGTATGGACTGGCATCAGGAGTAGCAAGTAAGTCTTACCAGATTTTGTCAGGTCTTTGTTATACGTAGGTTTTGTCCAGTTAGTCATAAGAAATTCTGTTCAGTTGGCTGCCGCTACTAACTGTTATATTGCATCTGTGCAGCTGGTTAAATGTGAAATATTGGAAACAATTTAAAGTATTTTTTCCATTTGGTGCACTGATTTATACAAGGAAATATATGCAAATCATGAATAGATTGTTTACCTATAAGAGGACATTTTTCAAGAAGAATATTTATAAATATGCATATTGCATGCATTCTAGCTGTACAATATAAATACAGTCATGCTCTTGGGAACTTTTTACCGCTTGTGTTTTATGAGGAAATTATTCTATTTTAGGGGCTTTCTTGGTTAGGATTTTACGTGACTAATTAGGTATAGTTTTCTTATTATACTCAGTGTTTCATTTGTTCAGTGACAAATTAGCACATTTTCAAGAGTCTTGTAATAAATTCTGAAGTGGCACAAATGTGAGTTTTATCAGATTGGAAGCAAATTTCATTAACTGAACAAAGTCCTTTCCCACCATCCAGTAAAGCCTCATTTCTACTTCACAGCGTTTAGACCTAAAGAGACCAGAAATACAAGAGGACCTGGGTCATGTGAGGTTACGTCAACTGAACTTGTGCTTTGTTCTGAAGGAGAAACAAAAACTAGACCGGCACTTTGGCAGTTGTAAGGTCTGCCTGGGTGCTCTTACTAAAGAAACAGTATACGGTCTGCTTAATTACATAGTGCAGAGTTCAGCTGTCTGAAGGAATTTTAAATGGAGCTGAGTTCCACAGCTGAATTAGGCTGGGACGTGCTCTCCACACTCAGGCAGGGGCGTCAGTTTGTTAGGAAAATGGAGTACTGTGTGATAACTTATGGGATGAGGAGTCTCAGGAACCTCTTTGGATGAGAAGACCTCTGTTCTAGGTTTGCCTTCCTTTGATTTCTTTCAATATTATGAGTTGAATTACATTTGTAATCACTCATGGCTCTGTCTTTGGTGCTGAGTATGCTCCCTAGACCACCAGACCTGCAGAGGTTCATTCTCCGAGTCACCCCTCCCATTGCCCTCATTGTTTCCGATGAGGGGGCTGTACAAGGCTTGCTCATGTTCGGCCTCTGAAGGCAGCACAGGAATCCTGTGTGCCTGTGGGAATCGGGTGTCCTGTGGGAAGGCTTGATTAATCCATTAGTGTTTCCTTTTTTCAGTCATTAAACTGGTGTAAGTATTCAAAAGCTGAGTATTTTCCCGTTCTCCAATATGGTTGGACATTTTTTTTGGAGGAGGTAGTAGAAGTTCATTACCTGCTTTCTTCAAAACAGTGGCAGTGCTTCAGTTTTTAAAAATACAGACTTGGGTGTAGTTCTTGATTTTTCTTGCAGTCACGTGTCATCATAAAGAAGTCCAGTATGGTGTGTGGTGTCATCAGTACCGGGTGCCAAAAATCTTGACTTGCTCACTTTAGATCTACTCTGCGTATCGGAAGGAAGTTCCTTTTCTTAGCTCCCAGTTTCTTTGTCTACCAGATGTCGATCACGGTTGGAATACATGATCTCTGACACTATTTCCACATAATTTTTTGTTTTTGGCGGTACGCGGGCCTCTCACTGCTGTAGCCTCTCCCGTTGCGGAGCACAGGCTCCGGACGCGCAGGCTCAGCGGCCATGGCTCACGGGCCCAGCCGCTCCGTGGCATGTGGGATCTTCCTGGACCGGGGCCCGAACCCAGGTCTCTTGCATTGGCAGGCGGACTCTCAACCACTGTGCCACCAGGGAAGCCCCTCTCCTCCTCTTTTGAAAGAGCTTTTTATTTGGAAATAAGTTCACACATACATAAAAATACCAAAACTAAAAAAATCCCCCAAATTATATACCTTTAACGAGGCTGATTTATTGTTAACATTTTATCCCATTTGTATTGTATTTGTATTCCTCCCCCCCAAATCTACACACACACACACACACACACACACATTTTTTTTAACCATTTTTGAGAATAAGTTATATACATCATGGCCCTTTACCCCTAAATACTTGAACGTGTATTTCCTAAAAGGGGATATCTCTTTTTTTTTTAACTTTTGTTAAAAACATTGAAGTATAGTTATTTAATTTACAATGTTGTGTTAGTTTGAGACATACAGCAGGGTGATTCTGTTATTCATATATATATATTCTTTTTTAGAATATATTACAAGATAATTGAGTATAGTTCCCTGTGCTACACAGTAGGTCCTTGTTTACGCATTTATATAGTGTGTATATGTTAATCCTAAACTCCTAATTTATCTCCCTCCCATCCCCTTTGCTAACTATAAGCTTGTTTTCTATGTCTGTGAGTCTCTTTCTGTTTTGTAAATAAGTTCATTTGTATCATTTTTTTAGATTCCACATATAAATGATATCATATGATATTTGTCCTTTTCTGTCTGACTTCACTTAGTATGATAATCTCTACATCCATCCATGTTGCTGGAAATGGTATTTTCATTCTTTTTTTAAAATCAATTAATGTATTTTCTTTTTTCTTTCTGGCTGCATTGGGTCTTCGTTGCTGCGCACGGGCTATCTCTAGTTGCAGCGAGCGGGGGCTACTCTTCATCGCGGTGTGGGGGCTACTCTTCATCGCGCTGTGGGGGCCACTCTTCATTGCGGTGCGCGGGCTTCTCATTGTGGTGGCTTCTCTTGTTGGGGAGCACAGGCTCTAGGAGCGTGGGCTTCAGTAGTTGTGGCACACAGGCTCAGTAGCTGTGGCTCACGGGCTTTAGAATGCAGGCTCAGTAGTTGTGGCACATGAGCTTAGTTGCTCTGTGGCACGTAGGATCTTCCTGGACAAGAGCTTGAACCCGTGTCCCTGCACTGGCAGGCAGATTCCTAACCACTGCGCCACTAGGGAAGTCCTATTTCATTCTTTTTATGGCTGAGTAATATTCCATTGTCTGTGTATATTTGTGTGTGTATGTATGTATATATTTATATGTGTATATGTGTGTGTGTGTGTACACACACACACACACATACGCATATATATATATATATATCACATCTTCTTTATCCATTCATCTGTTGATGGACACTAAGGTTGCTTCCATGTCTTGGCTTTTGTAAATGGTGCTGCTTTGAACATTGGTGTGCGTGTATCTTATGGTATTATGAATTAGAGCTTTCATCTTTTCTGGATATATGCCCAGTAGTGGGATTGCAGAATCATATGGTAGCTCTATTTTTAGTTCTCTAAGGAACCTCCGTACTGTTCTCCATAGTGGCTGTAGCAATTTACATTCCCACCAACATGTGCTTGTGCTTACACCTTGGAATTTCTAAGCCGTTAGATATGAAGTGCGGCCTGGTCATACATAATTTCAGTAAGCATTCTAGATGGTTCTGAAAAAGCTGGTCCATTTCTGCACCACTTTGTGGTGCGGGTCCCTTTCCTGTGCTTGCATCTGTTCTGCTGTGGGCCCATCATGGCAGATAGTTGAGCCAATTCTATTAACTGTTGGGGATTACATTGTTTTGAGGCAGCTCTAATGGGTTTAACTGACACTCTCCTTCAGTATTATCTTGCTTTCTCTTCTTATTACTCTCTTACTGATGAGGTCCAGTTTATCAGAATTGTTTTTTTTTAATTTATTTTTTTATACAGCAGGTTCTTATTAGTTATCCGTTTTATACATACTAGTGTATGCATGTCAATCCCAATCGCCCAATTCATCCCACCACCCGCACCCCCGCCACTTTCCCCCATTTGAGTGCATACTTTTGTTCTCTACATCTGTGTCTCTATTTCTGCCTGGCAAACTAGTTCATCTGTACCATTTTTCTAGATTCCACATATATGTGTTAATATAAGATATTTGTTTTTCTCTTTCTGATTTACTTCACTCTGTATGGCAGTCTCTAGGTCCATCCATGTCTCTACAAATGGCCCAATTTCGTTCATTTTTATGGCTGAGTAATATTCCATTGTATATATGTACCGCATCTTCTTTATCCATTTGTCTGTCGATGGGCATTTAAGTTGCTTCCATGACCTGGCTATTGTAAATAGTGCTGCAGTGAACATTGGGGTGCATGTATCTTTTTGAATTATAGTTTTCTCTGTGTATATGCCCAGTAGTGGGATTGCTGGGTCGTATGATAGTTTTATTTTTAGTTTTTTAAGGAATCGCCATGCTGTTCTCCATAGTGGCTGTATCAATTTACATTCCCACCAACAGTGCAAGAGGGTTCCCTTTTCTCCACACCCTCTCCAGCGTTTGTTGTTTGTAGATTTTCTGATGATGCCCGTTCTGGCTGGTGTGAGGTGATACCTCACTGTAGTTTTGATTGGCATTTCTCTAATAATTAGTGATGTTGAGCAGCTTTTCATGAGCCTCTTGGACATCTGTATGTCTTCTTTGGAGAAATGTCTATTTAGGTTTTCTACCCATTTTTGGATTGGGTTGTTTGTTTTTTTTAATATTGAGCTGCATGAGCTGTTTATATATTTTGGAGATTAATCCTTTGTCTGTTGATTCGTTTGCAAATATTTTCTCCCATTCTGAGGGTTGTCTTTTCATCTTGTTTATAGTTCCCTTTGCTATGCAAAAGCTTTTAAGTTTCTTTAGGTACCATTTGTTTATTTTTGTATTTTTTTCTGTTACTCTAGGAGGTGGGTCAAAAAAGATCTTGCTGTGATTTATGTCAAAGGGTGTTCTTCCTATGTTTTCCTCTAAGAGTTTTATAATGTCCGGTCTTACATTTAGGTCTTTAATCCATTCTGAGTTTATTTTTGTGTATGGTGTTAGGGAGTGTTCTAATTTCATTTTTTTCCATGTAACTGTTCAGTTTTCCCAGCACCACTTATTGAAGAGGCTGTCTTTTCTCCATTGTATATCCTTGCCTCCTTTGTCATAGATTAGTTGACCATAGGTGCATGGGTTTATCTCTGGGGTTTCTCTTCTGTTCCATTGATCCATATTTCTGTTTCTGTTCCAGTACCATGTTATCTT